TATCTGTCTATGTCTGTCTATCTATCTATCTATCTATCTATCTATCTATCTATCTTATATCTACCTCTACATCTATCTTCTATCTATACTATAACACAATGACTTACTCATGAACGGGATTTCATTTTTTTCATATATATTTTTTCTCTTTACCTTTATAGAGAAAGAGATGGAAGGTAAGAATAGTTTTGTAGAAATGTATCACCCATCATTCTTCATTTTCCTTATTGGAATTCGACTTTTGAAACATTGGATGATTGTTTAAAAATTCACACACTTCTTTTACTGTGTGAATGATGTGTAATCATTCAAAGGTTTTTGGCTAAATGAATACTGCATATACTCATCAAGTGGGAAATTATTGTCTGGGCTGCATCAGGAGTAAGCAGAATAATTTCATCTGAAGGGTAAGATGAAACCAAGACAAGTGCCAAGGATTTCCCTCAGCTATTTTTGCTCAGCACTAACACTGATGCTATTTTTAGTGGAAGAAGATATTCAATTCATCCTGCAAGCATTGCTCCAGCAGAAACGATAAATTAAATGAAATGTAAGGGGCAGGCAGTGTGGAAACCCACTATGGCATAAATCTTTTGGATTTTAGTAAACATGTCAGATATTTTTAAAAAATTTAAGGCTTTCTCATTGAAAATCCTTATGAAAGGTATTCATACATCCTCTTTCTTAGGATGGAGATCATGAAGGAAATGTGATACATTAAGATCTGGAAGAACTCAGATCAGCTATTAGTTTTTGCCACAGTGAGCTGTAAGAACAGAAGGACTGGAACTCACTTGGCTCCAAGGCTAGCCTGAGGTTGTGTTTTTAAATCAATTCCTATTTACATTTGTATAAATATTTCATGATGAATAATTCTGATTTGCTTGGAATTTGATGAGTTTGACTCTGGCTACTATTCAGTTTCCTAATTTTGCTCTAAAGACACACCAAATGTTAATTCAGTTCACACAGGAGACTGAAAACAAATTTATCTAAAGATGCTTAAGCTATGATAATTAATATAAACAATTTAAGAGAAATACTTAGAACATGTTTGGTTTGATATTTCATATGTAAGCAAAAAAAAAAAACCCTGCTCTGTACTTTAAGATATAAAGTTATAAGCTTTCCTCAAATTAAAGTCTTCATGTTAGGCTGCATACTTTATACTAGTAGTAGGCATCTGACTCACATTACCTTAGGCCCTTATCAATTCCCTATGTTCTTTTATCTTATGTCCTTGGCTTTTCTTAAAATAAATGAAAGAAAATTATTACTATTGAATTTCCTATAAATTATTGCTCTATAAAACTATCTTATATGAAAATGTTATAAGTAAATTATCTTTGAGAAGTTAGCTCTGGAATAACCTTTATTTTCTTGAAGTATTTGCATCAAACTGCCTTTTTAGGAGATGCCACTATAGTACATCTTATTATGTTCCTAGAGGCTGGAAAAATCATAACTGAATATGATGTCCAATCAGGGAGATTAAGCTTATTTTTTCTTCATTTTGGTTCTACTTTCCTATTTTCATTTTATTGATTTGAGTGTGTATGCTTTTGAGTACACTTAATTATCATTTTGAAAATAAAGCAGATTTAATTTAAAGCCTCCAAAAGAATTAAAATGATAGAGGAGGTGAAAAATGTATTGCATGCTATTATAAAAATTTAAAAAAGCAAAGGTTGAAGAAAATATACCTGAATTCTTTAACTCTTCACTGCTAAACTGGTAAAGAAGGTCATACACTCCACCCAGGGATCCAGAAGTAAAGTAATGAGTTCCAAAGTCCTCAAATATTCGGCTGTACAAAGCGAAGTTGTAATCTAAAGGCAGATGGTTAAGTGCTTTCAAAAAGACATCAGAGAGATGCAGATCCGCAGCATTCATTGTGAAGTTTAAGACTTTTATCACTTTATGTATCCTAACAAAACTAGAATCCTAAATAAAAGAGGCAAAATAAGAGAGTGAAAGAGGGAGGAACAGAGGGAGGGAGGGGCGTGGGAGGGAGAGAGAGAGAGAGATAGATTAAAGGTAAATAAAAGCTAGGGAAACCAAGCATTTATTTTAAAATTTTCATTTAAGCCAAGTATGTTGTGGGTTGAAAAGTTATTTAGACAAAATACATGATCTACATTTTTTACATACTTTAATGCAAATTTCAGAGCATGAAGTATTACAATTGGCATATATATATATATATAGGCATACATATATATGTATTTATATATATATAGGCATATATATGCATACATATATACATATCTCCAGTTAAACAGTCAATATTAAAGGACTGACTTTCGACTTAAGTAAAAAATAAATTTTGAAAATACTCTCTGGTTAACACCTTTCACAGTGTATTCACAGAGCAAGTCCTAGAAATTACTCCGTCCTGTGTGTGTTTTCATAGATCTTCCCACTGGGGCAGCCATCAGTCATCTTTCTCAATATGGGTCTTCGCATTAGCCTGTGCCATTTGTCTGGACAAGCACCTGTCTCTAGCTGACGTTACAGTTTCTTTATTATTCCTCTTCACAAACTTACTGCCTCTCTTGTTCTTTTCTCTGCTGTTGCTTCTCCTCTGTGAGTTTGTGTTTTGTTCTCAGGGATGTTTCAGAGCCGGAGGTCTTCTCTTGGTGTCTTTCTTTGTTCTTTTCCATATTCCTCATTTTACTGGCTCTATCATGATCAGGAAACTCTTCCTTTGGCCTAGAATTTGATCTGCCTTCTTTGTTTTTATTTCTTTTTGAAGACTGAACACTTCCTGTTTTCCCCCATCTCTGTATTTATCATTATTTTTTATATCTTTCCTTCTTTTCTTTCACCTGCCCTTCCTGTTCTTTGCTTGTCTGTTCCTCCTCCTTAGCTCTCTCACTGTATTGGTCATGATCATTTCATTGTCTATTTCTTTATTGTTCCCTTGAAGAAAAGTTCTCTTTTTTCCATTCTTTGCCATTTCTTTCTCTCTGGTTTCCCCTTGGTTAATCTTCATGTTCATACCTCTTCCAATGGGAATCTCTATGACTGGCCTCTCTGGGTTTTTGAGAATCCTTTGTATTCTGTCGTCACAGTCAATGCAATAGTTTTCCTGATCTCTGGACTGCCTCTCTTGGTGCTGATCTTCCCTTTTCTCATACCCTCTGGATTTGGAACTTTTGGTATTGTGTCTGGCACTGTTCCCTCTTTCTCCACTAAATGATCTTGAGTGGTTGTGGTTCTTGAGATGCTTGGAATAATTCCTGGAGGTCTCTGTGAACTTTGACCTTCTGGGGCTCTCTTTATCTTCACTGCTCTTAGTATCAAAGTCACTGGTGAAGGGAGGGTAAGAGCATGGGGAATAAGTAAGAACCAAGACATATCATGTAAAGATACAAGATCCCAATGCTAAAGGTAACTGTATTGTTTGCTTTAAATGTCATAAACTTAATGGAGGAAAAATCACTGCCTGCATCTTGGTTTTCTTCCTCCATCAAGCAGGTTTGGAGAACACATCTGTCTTGGGGTATTCTGTTCTCTGAATTTACTTCATCTTCGTAACCTTTTGATTTCTCTTCATTTATTCCAGAACTTGCTTCATGAAGGTGCATTTTAGTACTTCTTCACCAACTGCTTGATTTAACAGGCACCTATAAAATCCACTGAGACCTTTCTGCTGGTGCAGCAGCCCTTTTTGCTTTCTTCTTCTTCAGCGCTTCCTTGAAGTTCTTTTTTCATAAGCAGATGTCACAAATGCCTCTTTATCATTAAATTCTCCTTTTTCCATTTCTCATTTTCTCTGTATTTTTTGCCATTCTTTTTTCTGATCTCAACTGCTTTTAGTAAGTTGTAGATAAACTTGGGCTTTCAATCTTTTCCTGAAAGTAATCTGGGGTTACTTTCTTTTTGTCCTGCATCTTATCATAAATATTGTCATATTCATATACAGTGGAATCTTCTGAAAGGGCCTTCTACATCTCCAGTTTGGTCTGTGTCATGGCCTGCTTCTTTGCAGTTTTCCTCTGAAGACTTTCACTCTCAGAGGTCTCATCATCATCATCATCAGAATCATTCCCAAACACTAAGGGTTTCTGCAGAACAGGGTTTAATTGCTGTGTGTTCTTTGATAAAATAAGCCCATACGGCCAGCCTGGAATCTCCCTCTTGTTCCAGTCTCCACTACATGTATTCGAGGTCCATGTGACACAGAAGCATACACCTTCACATAAATTCTATAGGGCTTTGGGCACCGGGAATCTGCTTAGAAATTATATCTATTTGAATTGCTTTCACATTCCTGGGCAACATATCTTAGGGCGTCTGCTTTGTTTTGAGTTGCAGTTCATAGAGGTTTCAGTCTGTACTTGGCTGGCTCCTAGGCTGGGATGGCAAACAAGCATCACAGAGGAGAAACAACATGGTGCGCCCAAGGTAGCAAAGGCAACAAGAGATCTTTCTCTTTGTTACTCAGAGAAAAGCAAACAACTAGATATACAAAGATTTGGGAAGTTCATCTTGCATGTATCTTCCCTGAGAAAAACACTAAAAAAATGACAACTGAGCAAAAATAGAAATGTCAAAAAAGGGAAGATGAGAGGAGAGAAAATGGTGATCCATATATAAAATATAAAACTAATATAAAACAGACTATGAACATGGAAATTATAAGTGCTATATGAAGAATCTGTAAATAGGGACGATAAGAGTCAGAACAAAATATAAACTAACACATACAATATAAAAACCAATTCTAAATAATTCTTACGAACACACCAAGATTCTTATTATCTCACTAAAACTGGTACTGAAGCCTGTGAATAGGGAAGCAAATATGTTCTCCAGTGTATTGCATGAATTATTGATAAGTAAAACATCTTTTGAGAGACGTTATCTCTTGTGATAAAAAAAGATACATTTTAATTATGTTTGTCAACTAGAGAAGAGTAACAGCATGCAGATTTAAAAGTACAGAAGAGATTCCAAAGGGACAAAAGGGAAAGATAGAAACATGCAAAATTAGGAAAAATAAGGAAATGAGAGACAACAATATTGTGCAATGAGTAAGAAAAATAAAAGATGGAAGGAACACATGAAGGTTTCAGTGAGTACACTAAACATAAATTGGCTGAATTTCCCTAGCAAAAGCCAGAGACTGTCAGCTTTTATTAATTTCAATGCTAAATGTTTGGTTTATATGAAACACACCTACAGAAGTATAACTATATGAAAATAAAGAAAACACAAGAAAAAACACAATCACAGAGAAGAACATTATTACACATTATCACTATAACTTTTAAAGTGCATTTTAACAGGATGGGGATTTAGCTCAGTGGTGCCATGCCTGCCTCACAAGGGCAAGGTACTGAATTTGATCTTGGTGCAGGGTGGTGTGGTAATATATGTAGTGGGATTTAATAAAAAAGAGTAAACTTATTTGGGTGTGTGTTAAAAATACTGCTATGATATCAAAACTTTCTTCTCCAAAATGCATAATTGCTTCAACTGGTGTTAAGTTTCTAGAAAGAATAAAGATTGGGAACCATTTTTATTACCTTCTTGTGGGAGGCTTTAATGGCTTCTCTGAAAGCCAAATTATGTTTAAAGTTTTCATTTTTCTTTGATGAATAAAAAATTGGTACATTAAAATCATTTTTCTTTGTACCCCATACTGAAACTTTTTCATTTTCATTCTTTTCTAAAGGAATTAAATCCTTGTAGAAATCTGTTTCCAAATCATCTTCTTCAGTTTGGACCTGGAAAAAAAATCCATATGAAATAAAACAATGTAGGACATATTGGAGTTATTTGTGAATATCTAATACAAATGAATTATTCATTTGTGTACTCAAGTATTTATTGAAGACTCATTGCTGAGGAACAAGGAATAATGTTAGTTCCTACCACAGTTATCAATTGTTAATCAATTTGGTGGGGAGAAAATAGCTATGAATACTCAATTCAATGTGATAAATTCTGTGCTGCCAAGGGGAACAAAAAGATAAATATAAGACCCAGACAGGCAATATCAGCAGAGTCTCCCAAAAGGAAATGACACCTAAACTGATATTTAAACAGGTTCTAAGTAATGAAAGCTGTTTTTGTTCTGCTTGTGATCTTGATGTAGTGTGTGATCTAATTTAAGATAGCTCTGAGAAGACTAATACCTAGAAAAAGGGGGAGGAATTTCTGTTCGATCCTGCTTTAATTCCATCTCCATCTCCTTCTGCCATGTAGAGATCTGGAAGGCACTCTACTGGCCAGTCTCTGATATGGAAGAAAAACAATTTAATGTTTCTGCCTTGCAGGCGATTAATGGTCTTCATTGACTTAATCAGGCAAGAAGAGGAAAAAACAGCAGGTAGGACCCACTTAGCTAAGAATAGAACAGGGTATTTCCTAAGAAGAAAGTAAGTCCCTGTTATGAGAAGAAAAGGGCAATGTTACAAATAGGACAAAGGATTAATCTTAAAATATTCGAAACTGATGAACAATTTTTTATTTTATAGATGTTTGTCTGATTTGCAATAGAATCTCTTATTTTAAAATACTCATGATTAAAATGGACTGAGCCATAAACCACGTCATTGTTAAATAACTTATAAAATTAGTCAAGGAAACAAAAAATAAGCCAACTGCAGAGGACTGTTGCTTATTATTAAAATATAATAAAAAGTTCAGTGTCTCTTTTGGGTGTTGTAGTGCATGCTAATGAGTATTTAAAATGAAGCTTTTAGTAAAAAAGCAATAAAATCACATCTATCAATCATCTAATCTATAATATTTGTTTATGTTTTTATTGTTTCTTCAGAAAAGCAGACTACAAATGTTTTGTTTCATGAATTAGCTCTCACACAAGAAAAGATTCAGCATCTTAAAGGAAAACAAGAGTGGGTAGAGGGGGGTTGGACATCGAGGATAAAAATCTGAGAGAAAGTCTGACTATATATATTAGCTGGTGGGGTGCAGGTATATGAATGAGCAATGATGAAAGGTTAAATTAGACTAGGAAATTGAGGCCCTATCTTATATTAATCTATCTTACATATTAATCCTAAGGAGAGTACATTGCATATTATAAATTCTTAAGAAATATTAAGTAGATGGATGGTGTCTATTGCATTTGTGTTTTGCAAAAATTGTGTAAAAATATTTAAGAGATAATTGAACAGAAACTGCCAGCCCATCATGTAGAGAGGAGAAATAGTAAGAGACTGTGTGGAAGATTATGTGGATGCTACTCTATAAAAATAACGTAGAAATCCAGGGAAACTTTGAAAAGGAAGAAGACAATTTCTCTTCATGCAGTGCAAGAAACAGTGGGTAGGTTCTGATGAACTCAATTTTCCCAAACTTGCCCAGAAAGAGATACTGATGACAGTGTGTGAGAGTGTGTGTGTGTGTGTGTGTGTGTGCGTGCATGGTGGTGGGGTATTCCTTATTTTACATGCTGTAAATATTCTAGGTGAGCATCTCTTGACTCTATGAATCTCATAGGCTGAAAACTTACTGGGACTCAAGAAGCATGCATTAACACTTTTAGTTTTGTGTTTAAAAAGCAGGAAGTTGGTTTGTAGAAAGAGGCAGAAGAATTGAGAAACAAGAATAGAGGAAACCTGTGGCATTTAGTTTCCTTTAATGTAAGGATCAAGACAGAACCTGAGGTTATGAATTTCATAAGGGAATCAGGGAGGCTTTTGAGTGATTGCAGAGGCACTGAGATGCCTTATGGCTTTGGGGTGCCACAGAAGAGTGTCTGGGCAGGTCACTGTATTGGTAAGAACTGGTGGTAACTACTCTGCAGTTTGCTGGTGATGACATATGCTTAGCAAATAGCCAATAGCAAAGCAGTGGCTCTAAGGAAAAAACAGACAGATTCCTGAGTCAGTGACACAGCTTGGGTTGGTACAGAGATCTGAAGGTAACTGAGCTCTGCATGTAATAATTGGGATCTCTTAAGTGGCATAATACTAGCATTATTGCTAATGTGATCTCATTTGAAAGTCCTCACAAAATATTCAGATCAAAACAGGCATGCAACAGACCACTCAGAATTAATATTAATTACAAATATGGAATAATCATGAAGAACTTGATTATTGACTTGGTAGATTTCTCTAAATATGTCTCTTCATCTCCATAAACATATTCAAAGACTTGCTTCCCTGTAAGCTTTGGTCTCACTCCCTCATAGGTGGGAGCCAAAGTTCTACTAACTAGGCCTGTTGTTTTTAAACAACTTCCGCATTGATTTTTCACTCTGAGATTGGTTTAGAGCATTTCAATACACTACACTCTGACCTCAGCATCACAGTTTCTGGGAACAGGTTCTCATCCTTTAGGTTTCAGCTCTGTCTATAATCCTATTCAATACCTATTCAAATACCATTCAAAGCCTGTTCAGTACCATGAATCTTAGTATCAACAGTCTTCCCAGAGATATTAGGATATGACAGCTGGATTCCAAAGATATATCCCAGATGCAAACTTGTTAGTGCTTATTAGATGGTTTTCGATTTAATGTATCCATTTGCACAATGCCTGTATACATGTATAGAAATGTCTTTTTTAAAAGGCAGAGTTGAATGACCTATTCCTGAACACATAGTATCCATAAAGTAGTTCTCAGAAACCATTAGATTTCTGGTGAAATTCTCTTTAGCATATCAAATTTGTGTAAGTGGATGTCACCATGAAAGCCATGTATTTCCTACTTATTATGAATTAAAAGAAATAAATTGCTCTTGGGAAAGATTTTTTACCAGATACTCCTCAGACAAAGGATTATTATCTAGAATATATAAACAACTAAAAAAAAATCAGACCCCCCAAATACAAAGACCTGATTCAAAAATGGGCATCTGAAATGAACAGACATTTCTCAGACAAAGAAGTGAAAGCATCAAATAAATATATGAAAAAACGCTCAACATCATTGGTCATTCGAGAGATGCAATGAAAGCAGATTCCACCTCACCCCAGAAAGAATGGCTACTATCAGAAATTAACCAATAACAAGTGTTGGAGGGGCTGTGGGGAGAAAGGAACCATTCTCCATGGTTGGTGGGAGTGCAGACTGGTGCCACCACTGTGTAAATTGATATGGAGATACCTCAAAGAACTAGGATTAGAGGTTTCTAATCCAGAGCCATCCCTCTGCTGGGTATCTTCCCAAAAGAATGAAAAGAATCATACCACGGTGATATATGCACACCCATGTTTATAGCGGCACAGTCAAAACTTGAAAACAGCCCAATTTTCCCATCAGATGGACACTGGATAAAGATGTGGCTTGTCTATAAAATGGAATGCTACTCAGCCATAAAGAATGAGAAACTATAAACATTTATAGCTAAACGGATGCACATTGAGGCTATATTCTTAAATGAAATAAATAGGACACATGAGTAAATACTGAATAGTTTATCTGGAGTGAAAAACTAAAAGTGTAAATGAGGCTCAAACAGTATAATTGAGAGTGTGAAATAGGAAGAAAATGGCTAAAGGGAAATGGGAAGGGGAGGGGAAAGGAAATAAGGGAAAAGAAAAAAATGTGAAAAAAAGGAAAAAATGAAAACAAAGTCTTTGTAAATAGGGAAGGATGAAGGGGGTGAAGGGAGAGCAGGGGTATGGGGAAAAGATAAGAACCAAGTCACACCTCTTAAAAGTACAAGATCCTCTTTGGTGTGAATAATCTGCAATAATGCATAAGATCCTAATAAGATTACTGACATTTAGAAATGGGAAGAAAGGAGCTAAAAGTGTAGGGAAGGTGGGATGGGTAGGGGAAGGGTAATAAGGGAAAAGAAAAAAAATGTGAGATAATGAAAAGGTGGAAATAAAGTGTTTGTAGATGGGGAGGGGAGGAGGGAGTGAAGGGAGGGCAGAGGTAAGGGGAAAAAATGACAATCAAGACTTGTCATGTGGAGGTACAAGATCCCATCAATGAATGTAACTGTACTGTACTGTATCCCTAAAATGTACCAATAAACTCAATTAAAGCTAAAAAAAAAGTACAAGATCCTAATGATAAATGTAATTGTATTGTTTGCTTTAAATGTACCAATAAACTTAATGGGGGAAAAAAGAAATAAATTGCTTACTTAGGTATAAACAGAAGGGATCACTGATGTTCAGGTTCCTAGGGCTAGTATGATACCCATTGCTACTTATCAAAATCAACAAAAAGAATAGCAACAAAAAATACTAGTAAAATAGGAAAGAAGGTAAACCAAACTACCTCATTATACATAGAGCCACTGTGATTTCTTAGCATCTTAACACTTTTTATGCCTCAATATTATGGTTATTTAAAAGAACTAGGTATGATCAGAGAAATTCTAAATAAATTGGTACTCTTATCCAGCTGGAAATACATTGAGAGTTGTATGTTCACTGGAGGAAAGATTAACTTGAATCCAGAATTCTGAGTTTGAATCACTGTTTGTAAGATGTTTGACTTTTGACAGTTTAGTTACCTTGGTTTTTTTCATCTGTAAGTTGGTTCATAATAACCCAGACTTCATTGAGTTATAGAAGAATTAAATCTAAATCATAATAGGTGATTAAAACTGTTAATTACCTTTTCACTCCGTATCTTTCATTCATCACTTATATCTCATTAGAAATTTAGTTTGTAATCACCAACAGTGTGGAGGCTTCTGCCACAATTGACCGTCATACCTCAAAATTGACGTTTTCCAGATTGGCTGGCACCCGATATGGATTACTTGCTCTACTGCTTTTGACAGTTTTACATTTTCCTCCAGTGAAAGAAGTATCAAGGACCTCTCCTCTGGGCTCTCCTGCCAGAAAATGAAATCTAGAAACAAAATAATTTTTAAGAATTCAATAGATGTAGAGCAATCTTTTCAAATTTACCTTACTTATATGAAAGAAATTCCTTTTCCTAGACATTTTTGATGCATGACAAATGACCTGAAGAAAAGTCTATTCTTCCAACTCCACGGTGAGGTATCCAAAAAGCTTGAAGCCAAAAAATATGCCCTGCTGACTCTAAAGTTCTCTCATTCCAATCACTTAATTGTTCTGGGGTTTCAACATGAAATAAAATTTGGGTTTATAATTTTTTATGATTTTTCAAAGCCATTGCAAATTTAAAGTAGATTACAGAATAAATTATTAGCTAATGAATGCCATTCTAGTCCATTCCTTTCAATACAATACAGTTAAATAATTCCAGTAGGGAGCTAATGGTGAAATAATAATAACAGTATTTTAAAGGAATTATAATAATTTTATTGTTATATCATTATTTGTTTGTTTGTTTTTGGTACCAGGGATGGAATTCGAGTCCTTGATCCTGCAAGGCAGGCAGCAGAACCACTGAGCTAAATACCCGGCCCTGTTATATCATTATTAATTATAGTATAACTATGCTAGTTCATGGGCAACGAAGGTTTTCTTCAGAAAATCTTTTCCTACACAATGTCTTCAAGAGTTCTACCCAACCTTTCTTCAAGCTGGTTTAGTGTTTCTGTTTTAATATTTAGATCTATAATCCATTCAGTTTTAGTTCAGTGTATGGTGAGAGATATAGGTCTAGTTTTAATCTTTTGCAAGTTGAAACCCAGTTTTTTTTCTTTGCACCATTTAGTTTAAGGATAGATAACCAGAGATAAAATTAAGAGTCCAGAGATGGGAGAAAAAAAGTCTGTGATCAATTCATTTTTGATATGGCTTCCAAAGCAAAGAGTTTCAGAAGAGCTCTTAGAAATCAGTAATTAAAACAAATTACTCATTTAAAAAGTGGACAAGGAATAGATACTTCTTCAGTGAAGTTACGCAAATAATTAAGAAGTACACGAAAAGATGCTCAAAGTTATTCTTCATTCAAGACCCACAGAACTACAATGAGATATCATCCCATACCCATTAGGCTGGCTTTAATAAAAAAGATGGGTAAAGAATGTCAGTTAAAATGTAGAGAAATTGATTTTCAATCAGACATGACTGGTGCGAATATAAAATGGTGCAGCCACTTTGGAATTTAGTCACAAAGTTTTTTATTGGGGAAGTTGTTTTTCATGTTGTAAAGTTATATTGTGATGGTAGTTACATAAGTTACTAAAAACTCTTGAAATTGTATACTTTAAATGACTGAATTGCACAGTGTGTGCATTATATCTCAATAAAACTTTTTAAAAGTATAATTTCTGTGGGTTCTCTAAGATGCATATCATATTCAAAACACGGGTACGACCCAGACTTACTCATTTGCACTTTTCTAAATTAGGACAGTTTCATGAAGAAAAAAGAACTCTTGATCTTATACTGCCTTATACTGTGCACTCATGGCTTTGCCACAAACAAACAACAAGAAAAATGACTTCTGGATACTTAGGAATCTGTGAAGGTAGCAGCAGCTTGCCTCAGAGACTTCAAAGGTGGGATTTTTATGAAGGTGATTACAGTGGGGGTTGGTACTATGGAATCTCGCAGGAGGTAAGCCAACTATGCAGCAGGTTTTAGTTCTAATCTTTTCCCTTTCCTCTGAAATGTTTAGATCGACTTTAAATAACTTCATTTCCAATCCATAGTGACATTTAATAATTCAGCTTTCTAAAGTGCTTTTATCTCATTTTCTTTATGTTTCATACTTTATAACTTTTTTTCCTGTGCTAGTTATGGGATCTGAGGCCTTGTATATCCTAGACAAGCACTAAAAATATATACACCAAAAATAAACATGTGTTGTGTGTGCTTATATAAATATATATGGGTGTATATATTTATATTTGTACACTGACTGAGCCAGATAGAAAACAAACAGCATAATTGCTTGATTCTTATTTCAAATACAGGGCTTGGTGTGTGAGATTAGCAATGTAGGAATTTGATATATCTGGTTAGAATTTTTTTAGTCCCGTGGAGACATGGCAATAAAAAAAAAAAAATTCACCTAGGAAGCTACCATTTGTAGGTAGAAATGTGTTGGTGGCAGAATGGAGAAGACAGAGATTGCAAACCCAGTGGATTAAAAATAAATTATGCTCAGCAAAAATTCTTGATCCTCTGGAAGGCAAAGAGAAGAACAGTTGTTCCTGAGCCAACAGCTTTTGCTCATTTCTGAGAATCCTTGGGACAACAGCTCTGGTTGGCAGAAGGCCTTTTAGTCCTTTTGCCAAAGTACACAGAGCATGTGGTCCTTGCCATCTGTAACTCCAAAGTCTGGGCCAGTGGAACAAGAGGTGAGTTTGTAATGTTACACTTCATCAATCAGAACATTAGAAAATGTGATTATCAGCAGGAATGTTTGGCTAAGGTTTTCTTCCAAGGAAAACAAAAGAAGAAAACCAATTAAACACACGGGTAAAATAAGATGTTCAAGCACTGTTATCGAAATCAGCAATAATGAGAAACTCTTAGGATAGAGCCTCTTACCAGTTTGTAGCCATCCAACATTCAGATGTGGGAAGTGAGGCCTGCAGATGTTATGATGTAGTGAGTTAATGCAGAATATCTAGAACCCAGCTCCTTTGACTTTAAGACTAATGTCTTTTCTGTTTTACTGGAGCCCTTGAGTTTGTTCAATGGCTTCTGGCTTTTATTTAAATCAAACACAGTTGTATTTACATCTATGGCTATTTGTCTCTCAGGCTTCAAGATTTCATATTAAGCAACTCTGGCAAAATTAGTGAAAGACTTGGAGTTTTAGAAAGTCCAAAATGAAGCAACAGAAACTGATGACAAATGATTTTCCTTCTGGCCAAAACTGAAGGTTTTAGGAGACATTCTATTTTTTATTTTATCACGGGAATGGGAAGGCACAGGATATTAATTTTACTGATTTTCCTGTGCTTCAAACTAGACTAAGTTTTTTTGTTTTCCTTGACTTCTTTATATACCCTAAACTATTCTAAAACTTTGGGACAGTCTGATGAATTTGGAACACCTTGCTGAATTCCCAGTGCCCTGACAACCAGATAAACTTGGAAGGGAATATTAGAATTTCTGAGCACTCATCCAACATAAAGTCCCATGGTCTCTTGAGGTTTCTTCCAGTGTTTTCTTATCCCTAATAGGATGCCATATCAAATCAGCATGGAATGATGGAGTCAATCTGGGTTTTGATCTCTGGATTTGAATACTATTTCCACCATTTAGTACTTGATAGACTTAGGTAGCTTTTTAAAAATTTTCTGAGATGGCTTCTTGGCCTTTTGGCTAAGATCAAGTATAAAAATTGTCTGAGATTCAGCTTTCTAGTTTGTAAATTCTGATCTTCTCATACATGATATCATCCATAGAAGAGGATCCCACATCCACTTACCACTTACTTTTTTTTTTCTTTTTTGGTATTGGGGATCCAATTCTGGTCCTTGTGCTTGTGAGGAAGGCATAGGAGCCACTGAGCTAAACCTCTGGCCCTGACTTACTCTTACTGTTTTTCAAATCATTGTGATCCTGTATTTCTATAACTGCCCAACTCCTTTGTTTCTCTTTGCCTCTCTGTTGATGCTGGGCTCCCTTATCATAACAAAAGACTGGTTATGCTTCTCTGGTGTTTTGATTTTCACACACACATACTTTTCTGTTATTTTCTTCCTAAATTTGCCCCTTAAGTTTCTAAGTGGTTACTTACTCTTTCAAGATCCAGGGATCCACATGTGCACTTTCCAGTTTGCTAACCTTTCCCTAATCTGCCCTGATCTATTCTAGAGCTTTCAGAAGGATGTATGGTAATTAAAATTTAAAAATGCTTATAAGAAGCCTTTAACGTTACCATGAAATTAAGTGTGACAAATGCTAAATTCTCTTATTCCCTGGGAGAGAGGATAAGGGCCTGCCTGAATGTGATAATCCAGTAACAGAGACAGGGCTGGTGTGAGAGTAGCCCTTGGATTCACGAACTTCTAAGATTCTACTCACAAACTGAGTTGGTCGTGAACTGAATTCAGTGGTTAAGTTCAATGTTGACCTTATGGAGAAATTTGATCCGGTTTGAGACCAATTCGGGTTTTGACCAGAATTGTGTAAAGAATTGAGTTCCTGAACAGAAGTATCACTGTAGTAAGAAGTCAATGAAGGGGAAAGGGAATAAAGGAAAAGAAAAAAATATGAGAAAATGAAAAAATGGAAATAAAGTGTTTGTAAATGGGGAGGGGAGGGTGGGTGAAGGGAGGGTGGGGACAAGGGGAAAAAATGAGAACCAAGACCTGTCATGTAAAGGTACAAGATCCCAATAATGAATGTAATTGTACTGTATATCAAAAATGTACCAATAAACTCAATAAAAGAAAAAAAAGAAGTCAATGAAGAAAGCAAATAAAACTTCACTATTCCAAAGTCATTAGTTCAGAGATATCTTTTCTCCCCAAAATGATAAAACATGTGTTACATACCCTGCACCTATCATCTGTACGCTAGGGATCGGGGTGTATATCCGCGGGCACACTGGCTTTTTTCTCCCACATGCCCTTTCATCTGAATTGTCTCCACAGTCATTTTCTCCATTGCATTCTAACTTGCTGGCAATGCAACGCCCTAAGCAAGGAAAACAGATGACAGCAATGCAACACATTATCATTTAGGAAGCATTGATTAGGTTGAAACACAAATGCTTTAAATTTCCAGAGAAGGTGATGGCAAGATTTCATCATTTTTGATAATGGCTTAGGAATGTATAATGCCATTTTCCTCTAATTTTTAAAATGATGAGAGTCACCATAGGATTATTTAGCTGAAATTGGGGTTTTAAAAAGGGAAGTAATTCTGGAATCTCATTACAGTGAGCTTGCTTTAGAGCTCATGTTCTATAGGGTAAAATTAAGAGCAGGCTCAGAACTTCGTTTTCATTCAGATGCAGAGTCTGGGTCACTGTTTTTATTAAAAAAAAACGTGATTTTACACAAACATGTTCCACTAGTATAAACAATAACATGGCTGAATCTCTAAAATTTTAGGTTGATATAATTTTATCATGACATATGCATGATTCCTTTATATGATATTTAAAAACAAACACAAGGTGAGAGATTACTCTGAAAGAAGAAGGAAACTTTTTGGAAATTTTCTATTGACTCTACATTATACATTTATGATCTGTATATTTCATATAAATGATTTTTTGTTTTATAATTGCTATTAATTTTATTAAATATACTTCTTATATATTTTTCTACATATAACTACTGCGTATAACTACTTTACTACATGTAAATTACTGTATCTATTTTTTAAATAATTTAAGTGCCAAGGTAGCAAGTTAAGTGAATGAATTTGGAAAATAATACAAAAGCCATAAACACAAAAATAATTTGTTTTTTTTTTTGTCTTGCTGAATTTCATCAGGATACTCGAAATTGGTATTTATCTATAGCAGAAATTGAAATGTTTTGCATGTGATGACAATTCCCTTTTCCTGTCTTTCAGCTTCTGGCTGGTATGTAGGGATACTAGCAACTGTACCATTATATCCAGTCCTAACGGACAGTAAATAAATATTTTACTCAAGAGTATCTGACTGTCTTAACTTGCAATCAGCATCGCAACTATGATCAGCATCTGCACACTAGTTCGCACTACTTTGACAAAAAGTCCTTGGGGGAGCACAACAGTTGATCTGACAACCAAGAGTAATAAGTAGGCAGTGTATAGAATATGGATAAACTCAACAACAGAATGATTTAGCCCTGGGAAGAACAGAGCTGGCTAACACATGATTTCATTACTCATGCAATTTAAAACTTATAAATTGTTTATTACTGGAATTTGCCATTTAATATGTTTGGACAGTCATTCGCTTCAGATAACTGAAGCTATGAAAATGAAACTATGGATAAGGGAGGACTATTATATATATGGACAAGAAGTTCTGCAGTCATTTATAAATTGCACATTTTTTTCTATCAATATGAATGGATTTGTGTTACAATGACTTTTTTATAATGAGCTGCAAATTCTCTAATTTTCTATGCTTAAAATTAGTACTTATAGAGAGATACTGGCACAGTGTATGGGAATTAGCTTCATGGATGATTCTTAAAAATCCATGTGTATATTACAGTACTATATTGAGTCAGGGACTCTTGGGAGACTCTGAGCAGCAATCATGAGGGAGAAATAAAACATGAGCCTATTTAGGACAAACTATTAGTTCTAACTTTTTTTCTTGTTAAGTGAGGGCCAAATATCCTGAGATTAATAATCATCCAGCCAACCCCTCATTCTCACTCATAGTGACATTAGTGAATGTTTTTAGAAGAGCATACTAGCATATCATCTTTAACAGAATATTTAACAACCAGAAGGCCATGCAGTCACCCAATCAGAAAAGATGCCAACCTTAACTGTGCTAGGAATTTGTCAGTCAATGGCTGGATTACGGATGTATCAAGGGATCGGGTGAGGAGGTCTGGGCTGCAGGGGGCTCAGAGTGGTAGCTGCTTATCAACCCATTGTGGACTCATTGTAAATGATTCAGACTTTTACCAATGGTTGTGGACATACAATATTTCAGTTAAAATGGACATTAGCTGTGCTTACACTGTTAACTTTTCTGAAATCAGTCCTTATGTATTAGTGAACAATGAATGAATCTAAAGATTGCTTGAGTTTTTCTCAGCCTAAGTAAAGCTCTTTTATAATCAATTTCATATCATCTACTGATAAAGAAAGATTTTGTAACAACCATTTTTGTAGCTTCTAACAGATAGACTTTGGTTTTAACTTTTACTAGTCTAGATGTAATCTTTCAACCTGTATTACTCTCAGCCATTATGATCAAGATTTTTCTCATGTTCCCTCAATTTGTGACATGACCTTATTCATGTAGACACAAAGTATATTCAAATCCTACTCTTACATCCTGGGGTTGAGATAACATAAGGGGAAAAATACCTTGACACAAGCATTGTTATCTGACATTCAGAAACATTTGGAAAAGCTAAAGGTAAAAAGTACGGTTAAGAGCTGGGGATTTAGCTCAGTGGTTAAGTGTTTAAAAACAGTTCCAAGGTCTTGGGTCAATTCAATATAGAGTATGAAATTTGCTATTGAGCTATAAATATTTTACTTTCAGCATATACTACATTACACAGAAATGATACATATTTATTTACCTGACATTTGATTTATTGTAACTTTCAACTGACTACGGAAGGTGTCAGTGAACTATGGCTTATGTGATAAAATTGAACTGCACCTTTTCTGTGAATAAAATTTTATGAAAACAGCCTCATTCACTTGTTTATATACTATCAAAGATAGCTTTGGTGCTACAATACCACAGTAGAGTGGTAGCAAGATAGAACAAAGGGCTAAAATATTGCCATTTGGACCTTTACTGAAACGTTAATGGAAACTTGATCTATATTGTTCACAATGACGAGTACTGAAGAGATGTTAATTAAAAAGAGAATACATATGATCAATATATTCAGTACTTGATTATATTTAATGAAATGTAAATCCTAGGTGTACCTGAATGAGTATTGGTTTTAAAGTTAATGTAGCCTCGTTAAAACCATCCTGATCTTATCTTTTGGAAGTGCCTTTGGAGTCAATCAAGAAAATTACCCCATCATTTCTAGTCATTCTCCTAGTATCATACCTCAATATTCTCAACTGTATCAAAAACCTTCTTAACCTGTCATTTTTCAGTTATCCTTATTATACATTTGTAGTTATCAATAAAAATATTTGCCTACATTTTCCCCTCTTCCTTTTCTCCCCCCTCCCTGCTTTAGAAGAATGCAGGGACTTGAACACCATCAGCTGATGAGCAAATGAATTAAGAATGTTATCAAGGGCTGGGGATTTAGCTCAGTGGTTCTGCTGCCTGTCTCACAAGCACAACGACCCTAGTTCAATCCCCAGTACCAAAAAACAAAAAAGAATGTCATCAAAATGAGTATAACTTAAAAGCTGTAATTTCACACATGAATACTTTGGTAATGTATAGGTCAACAGCCCTATTCACCCATGTTTAGATGAATTGGAGTTTCTACTTATAGTCACTGGAAGACCTTTGGTTTAGTCAAGTCATTTTGAATGAACACTACATTTTACAAAAGTACATTACCACTGTCACAGAGGAATTTATCCTTGCAGTCAACCTCTTCAATTCTGCAGAGTTTAGATGGAATACATGGTTGAAAGGTCATCAGGGACTCAGTACATGGTTGTCCCCCAAACTGACTAGGGCGCAAGACAGATCTAACTTTAGTCTGAAAGGAAGAGAGAAAAAGGTGAGTAACTCCAAGACAAGGTCAAGGTCAAATGCATCTAAGAAAATGCTGCTCCTCAGTCACAGTGGCAAATTTTTCCTATAATGGTATTTTCTAAATTTTATTGACAATTTTCCAGTTCCATTATTGTGTGTATTTAGGGAAGCATCCACTTCCTGGGGCCTCAGTTTCCTGATCTGCAAAATGAGAAAATGGGGTGAAAAGATTCTTAAGACTTCTAACTCTGTAATTATATGGTTCAAAATCATCAATACCAAAACAAACAAATGTTTATACTGAGATCCTCCTGAGTGTAGCACATTCTTCTCATCCTATATCTCAAAGGCATTGTAGAGTGAAAATGGGAAAGGATTTTAAGTTTCTTTTGTATAGAGAAGTCACCATGGAAACAGAAGTTGACATTTTTTTTCTCCACATGTTAAAAGATTTTAAATGGTTAGTACTAAAATGAAGTGTCAGGGGAGAATATAATATATTGCAGGACTAACAACTGACTTTGGAGTCAAATATTAAGTTAAAAATGCAGATACTTTATTAATTTATGGTGTATTCTTGTGCAAATTATTTAACCCCTAATGGAGCTATAACTTGCACATGTATAAAATGCACAGAAAAACACAGCATGATCTGATATTTGAATAAAGTGATATATGTAATGGGCCTAGAACACTTGCCCTTGTTGAATGGGTGCTCCACAAATGAGTTTCTTTTTCTTCTCTCATGAGTGAACTCTCAGCACCCTACCCCAACTAGGGTTCACAAGGGTCAATGCCTTTTACAGGAATGAGCAGGAAGTGGGTCAATATTTCAAATGGGAACAATAAACAAATTGAAGGACTTTCCCAGGGGGACAGAGCATTCAGAGGAAGGACAAAGAGTCAGGCTTTTGATTCATTTTCCTTGTTTCTGCTTAGTTTTAAGCATTGGACTGAAATCTCTATTTTTTATTACCTGCCTTTGTTTCTAGAACTCTTTGAAGGTATCTTCGGTAGAATGCCAATGCAGATAAATATAAGTCCAATAGTGGAGGTAGAATTTCCTTCTTTTCCCTGACTCTGTACCCCTGAAAATTGCTAAGTGAAATGTTTTTCTCAGTGGTAAATAGGGCAGTTTATTTTTAGAAACTGAAGCAACTCAACATTTCTGTGTTGTTGAGCCTGTAAGGAAACCAGAGCACTTTATTGTAATTCAGATTTTCTGGGAAGCCCATGAGTAACTTACTTGTTTTTCAAGACAAGGGTCACAGCCTGACCATGGCCCATAATCTCCCAGGACACAGTTGATAGGACATTTTTGCCAGTTACAATCTCTGGTATCCTGCTTGGTGCAAAGCTGGTCACATGAGTTATCCCAATAGTAATTATTTACTACTATTTGCCTGTAATAGTGAGGAAAAAGTTGCTTAGCATATGTATACTCACTGTGGTTTCAACCTTACAAAAAAATCACCGAACATTTACAAATAAAAGGAAAGAATTTTTTCATGGAAAATCAAGCAGGTTGGCATATATAGAGTTGATATAAATTCATGAAACTCTGGACCAGCTCCATAATTTGGAGAGACCAGTACTAAATAAAAGTGGGAGACATCTTCAACAGTGAAAATGTTTTTGACAGTGATGGCAGAATTAGGCACCCAAGAAGCTCTTCTGAATGTGGAAGCCTGTGCGACTGCACAGTCCTATCCTTGAAGTTGGCCCTGATGGATATCCTGGAAGGGAACGGAAGGAAAATAAAGTGAACGTCTTGCAAATCGCTCAAAAGATGGCAATGAAGTGTGGTGAGTATAATGATTGAAATAGGGTCATGGCGATATGAGACCAAAGATTCAAAGTGACAGTAGTGACATATTGAAAAAATTTCCTAAGTAAAAAGGGGGGAAAGCAGTTGGAGGAGTAACAAAAATTAGAGATAGGAGGGAGCACGAGCCTCTGGGGAGGAGTGTGTAACGCGGATGGGTGGGTTACATCATACTTTACTTGGTAGGCAATAGAGCTGCTAAGGGACTCCAGAGTAGAGGAATATCATAAACAAATCTATTTTCTCACATTTAGTAGATGGCTTATTCAAAGCCAATGTTTGAGTTAGATGATATTTGCACGACATAGGTAAAAATGGTTTCGAAAATAAGACTCTAACAGGGCCATAATATTCAAAACACACACATCTTTTTCCAAGTCATGTGAGCACCCCCACTGTACAGAAAAAATTATCAGACTTAGGGAAATGTGGGGAATGAGCAGTCTGAATGAGTGAGAAGACTGACTTATTAAACGCTACCCACAATTTTCTTGCCATTTCTTACATGAGAACAGTTGAGCTAGGAGCTGTAGTGCTGTTCATTTGAGGTCCTGTTCGACTCAGTTTAATGAGTAGAAAATTCTCTATAATTAACTCACTAACTACAGGCAAGCAAAGTTATATGCTGATTAAAAAGGAGCTTGTGTAGCAATTCTAAATGTTAGTCAACTGAAAATATTGCACAGTCTTAATTAAAATTTTCCAAAACCTTTGTATGTATAGAGAGAACAAAAGTAGATTTCATTTCAGTTTCATATAGGAAAAAAAATCTCAATTTCAACAAAGTTTTCGTTACGTTGTTTGAGGTATAGTTTTTGTCCACTGCTTGGTGTGGTGCTTCTGATACTGCTGACTCCATCTTCAAGGTCTCCTTGGGAGAAAAAAAAAAAAACCACATAGCTTAAACTCACCTATGTCTGCTCTGGGTTCCAGAATCACATGTTTTTGAGCAGCTGGACCATTGAGTCCAGGGGAAGTGATCACAGAAGCACGCTTGCCCCTGGTCAGTCATAGCACTCAGCAGGAACAAATACAAGATGGAATATCCAGGCATGCCTTGAGAGACTACACTACTTTCAGGTCCTGAAATGGAATGACATAATAGACTATATATCCAAGGCCTGCTGGGGTAAAACTTTGCAAGTCATTCTCAGCGTGAGTTTAGAAACATCTGCATTTCTTTATCTTCCTGAAGGCAAATTAATATACAAACTCATATGCTCCTGAGCACAAGTCAGAATTTTAAGTCAGGATAGTATAGAAACTTTCTGTACTGATAGATATGAGACAAGTATGTGGTATGTATTTGTAAGACATTTCATTTTGTAAATTTTTCAAAACAACTGCTTATTTTGAGTGGGCAGAACTCTCAAAGACAGATTAGCTTTTTAAACTTTTCTGGGACTGGGGAAGGAATGTGAGTTGCTTTCCTGGGAGTTTTGGCTCATTTCCTGACATCCAGGAAACCTGCTAATGAGAGTTCACTGCCCTACTCTTTACATATAGAGTCATAGAGGTTTGAACTGGACAGTCCAGATGCCTTCACATTGTAGAGGTGAAAATGAGGCTCAAAGGAGCATGATAGCATTGAGGCTGCAAAGCGAGTAAGAGATAAAGACTCCTGGTTCTTGGATGAGACATACTCCTTTGCTCAGTTTCTAACAGACTAGTTATGATAAGTGGAATATCAAGATGCCAGGAATTTCACCCTGCAGGTCACAGGAGGGTTTGATCCAGATAATGCCAGTGAGAACTTTGATCCCAAGGTTCCCTCCTGTGTGCTGTGGACCTCAAGCATCTGTGACTTATTGCAAAATCATCTCTGTGCCCCAGCACTGTCAGGTTGACCCTAACTCTAATAAAATATGCAGCATGATATAAATACATATACACGTTTATGAATTTACATATACATACGTAAACAATTGCTGCTGTAATTATATACTAATGTTCATTTAAAAAGTGAAATGCTGTTCACCTAACTTTTTGTGTCTTCATTTAATTATCAATTAGATCAGAATAACAGTTTTATTTTCTTTTAAGGGGTTTCTTGGAATTCAGTAGAAACCCTCATAGAAAATGCTTAGATCAATCCTTAGCGTAGGATTACAGCAAATGAACACTGAAAATACATTTTGATATTAAATATGGCTCTTCATATGCAAAATATTTAGAAAGATGGCATTACTCACTTTACATGTCAAGAAAAAAAATCAGATTCCTGACCGTTATTTTTAAAATTATAATTTCCTCTAGTTTTTTAATCTCTCTTTACTGCTTAATTTTTGCCTATTTCCATCTCTTTCTAATGTATACCTTATTAAATGAAAATAAATGTTTCCTTTTTCCTTCATCCTCTTTCACTAGAATGTAAACACCATGGAGTTTAATCTTTTTGTCAGTGTCCTTCACTTAAGCTCTTAGAAGAAAAACAGCAAGCATATGTATTGAATAAATATTTGACTAATTGATTAAGTTTAGGATATATTTTTAGAAATGTGTTTTAATAAAAATTGAATAATATAATTTAATCCATCCTTATTGCTACTTCTGTATAACATTATTCTTAAAATTGCTGCCAGATTATGCGTATTTCATAGTCTTTAGAACCATTCACTTATTACTCATTGTTTCAGTGAATGACAATTTGTCCACAACTGATTCTTTTCTGTTTCATTTTAATAGTTGATTGAAATAAATGTAGGTCTTTTAAGACCAAGCACAAGGTCCTGAGTTCAATCTCCAGTACCAAAATAAACAAATAAATAAAAATAAGTATAAAAGTAGGTCTTTTAAGGTTCACCTTTATTTTTAAAACATTTAATAATTTACTTAGTCCACTTTTTATTTATTTAAAAACATTTATTTTGTTCTAAAATATAAAAATGTATGAAGAAAACAGCCTATGGAAAAGTTCTGCTGACATTAAAGCAAAAAATAATTTCTATATTTAAAAAACATAGTAAAATGAAAAATATAAAACCCAAGTTCCTCTGGTGTGAAAAACTATAATGGTAAATAAGATCCTAATGATATAAGTGACAATGTGAAATAGGAAGAAAAGGGCTAAAGATGTAGGGAAAGTGGGAAGGGTAGGGGAAAGGAAATAAGGGAAAAGAAAAAAATATGAGATAATGAAAAAATAGAAATAAAGTTTTTGTAAATAGGGAAGGGAGGAGGGGGTGAAGGGAGGGCAGGAGTAAGGGGAAAAATGAGAACCAAGACCTGTCATGTAAAGGTACAAGATCCCAATGATGAATGTAACTGTACTGTATACCTAAAATGTACCAATAAACTCAATGAGAAAAAAATAAAAACCCAGGCTCTTGTGCACCAGTAATTAGACATTCTTCCCTCATATCTTCATAGCTGATTACACATAAGTATGTGTGCATATTCATTAAATATACACTTAAAAAGAGAACATATAATATATGAATCTGTACTTTACTTTTTTCAAGTAATAATAAGCTTTGAAGACCTTTAATATTACTAGACCATATGTATTTCATTCATTTTAATGGTTTTATAATTTTATGTCACCTGAATGTACTATATTATTTTTAACCATTAACTATATAGTGCACTTTTAGTACATACACTGGAGAATGTAATTATATCTTATAATGCTTATTTGTTGAATTGATTAAGTTTAGGATATATATATGTACTCCTAATAGTGAATCTGTCAAATGATTTGTAAATTTAAAATTTAAAATTTTTTCAACATATCTTACTGAAATACAAATTTTCCAAATGTCTAAGAGGGTTAATTTTAGACTGTATTTTAATGTTATTAATTTATGTTTCTTATTCATAATGAAAAGATTCTTAAGCAAAAATTAAGTTAATAATTTTATAAATCTTGGTTTAAGCCAGAGATAAAGGACAATTCTATAGGAATTGTTTTTCCAATATACTCATTAATGACATCATTTCTTTCTTTTTTTTTATTCTGTGCAAAACTCCAGGAGTTACCTGGAGAAACCATTTATTTTCTGCAACTTTGCAGTGGTATAAAAATGAATAGGTTGTAAAGAATATTAACAATTTAGTGATACAGTAACTCTAAATTTTTCAATATACATACTCACTTTGGGGGAACTACCCTACAAAAGTAAGTGCACTGCTTTATGAGGATGTGTGCACAAAGATATGTTTATTTCAGCATTATTTGTATTGTGTACGGGGGAAACCCTGAATGTTCCTTATTAGGGTTCCTTCTCACTATGAGCTACTGTGTGTAGGAATAAAAGAAAAATTAGATCTAGATGTGTGTAATTAGAAGGATGCCCAGAAATACTGTTGAATTTAAAAATCCATTGACAAAATGCATATAGTATATATGTATACAAATTTATATTTGTATATTTATAATTGCTGTATAAATACTAAGAAATCTGTAGAAGAATACAAACAAAATTTCTGCTTTTCTAAAGGTTAAAATAAGGAAGGATTGTGTGTGTGTGTGTGTGTGTGTGAGTGTGTTGTATGTGTGTGTGTATACTGTTTAGGGTTCTTTAGAGGAACAAAATCAATAGAAAATATATGTATTATCATATGTGTGTGTATATACATATAATATGAAATAGGAAGAAAAGGTTCAAAGGGGAAGGGGAAGTGTGAAGGGTAGGGGCGAAGAAAGAAGGGAAAGGAAAATATATGTATAATTATGCAAGAGTATTATATAATTAGAGGCCTATAGGATCAGAGGTGGGAGTCTTCAGTGGTCATCTGCACACTGGAGAGCTGGAGGATCCAGTAGATGCTCAGCCCAAAGAAGACAGAAGCCACAGAACAAGAGGGACCAAGTATGTAGCAAATCCAAGACCAAAGGCCTTAATGACATCATTTCTTATTAATAAGTCAGAAACTTTTTAAACTCTTCTATCATCTCAGAGGGAAATGCTGGAATAAAAGAAGCCAAATCTCTTGACATACATAATTTTTTTTTATTGAGTTTATTGGTACATTTAGGGATACAGTACAGTTACATTCATTGTTGGGATCATGTACCTTTACATGGCAAGTCTTGATTCTCATTTTTTTCCCCTTACCTCTGCCCTCCCTTCACCCCCTCCTCCCCTCCCCATCTACAAACACTTTATTTTCATCTTTTCATTCTCTCACATTTTTTTCTTTTCCCTTTTTGTTCTTCCCCTACGTATCACACCTTCCCTACACCTTTAGCTCCTTTCCTCCCATTTCTAAATGTCAGTAATCTTATTAGAATCTTATGCATTGTTGCAGAATATTCACACCAGGGAAACTATTTGGTATTTACACATATGGGACTTATTTATATAATTTTAATTTAACATGGAACCAACACATATTTGAGTATCCATTGCTTGTAGCAGGGAATTTAGTAAAATACAAGAAACAGAAACTATTATCGAGAGTAAAATGTACTACCCATGCTTTTGGGACCAATTTTTCTTTCATTCAACTCATAGATAAGTTGCTACAATCCTAGACTGTATCAATCATAAAATGAGAGTCTCTTTCAGAGATCATTCCACTTGCCTACTGATTACACTTTCCTGGTAAGCAATTCACATTTCCTCGTATTTCCCAGTATCACAGAAGCACAAGACACTGAAACAAAAGTGGCCAGACAGAATCTATGTTGTGATCAGCTGTCCAACCTAAGTTTCAGACCAGGTGGTTATTTACACTGACTTCAGGACCCTTGGGAGCTGAGGCTCCTAAATAGAACAAAGCTTCTCTGTCAGCCACCAGCCAGCTTACAGTGCCCTTCTATTCCATTTTCAACTACCCAAATGTAGCTCTTCTTAAATAGTGGACATTTCCAACAAAGAAAACTACAAAATGTTTTTGGTGTTTATTTGTTTGCCTTTTCTTATCTTAAAATTAAAAGATAGAGATAGCTTCCAGAATATATCTCTCAATTTTAAAGAAAATAAAGTCTTAAAGCATCTGTGTAATAAGCATGAACGCAACAGGGAAAAATGAAATTACAAGAGAATCTCAGCAGATATTGTTTTAACTTACAAAAGCTTGAAGGTATGGTGGATGTAATCCCAATTACTACCAAAAACTGTGAGGACAGAACCTTTGTAAAATATTCTGATCTTTTCTTGGTTATGTGAGGCAATTTAGAAACCAAAATAAATTGATACAGCAGCATCAAAACTTATATGATGAGATGATAATAAAAGAGCTAATTGGTAGCTTCACTTTTCATAACATTTTTCTATTAAGAAGAAAAATTCTTCTATGTTAAAAGGATAATTTAAATTCAAATAATGAAAGCTTTCTTTAAACTTTTACCATGATCCACCATATATCATGTTTCTTTATTTATTAATTTCTAATATCTCTATATATTTTGGATTTAGGTAACCTTACACGCAGGCATTTTGCTCATGACTCATATTCACACAACCATGGAACAAAAGAATGTACACTGGATAGAGGAAGACGATGGAGAAAAATCTTCCACATCAGGGCCATGGTAAAAGAGTAGCAATTCTACAGTTTTCTCATAATTGCTATCCTCTCTTGAACTGCCTAGAAATCAGTGCTCTCGCTGAGCTACTGACAATGGCTTTGTGAACGTCAGAGAATTCTAGCTAAGATGGACGTATCTTACTTTAACCTGTCACCTTTGGAGGCACTGTACTCATATAAACAATAATTCCTCCCTGTAGTTCAGCAACCTGACCCAGCAGATGTCAGAAGATGGTCTAGTTTATCCTCAACTGTAGGTTCTTTCTTTGAATTTCCTTGTTATCTTTTAGAGACTTTTATTTCTTGTTTTTCTTCTATTCATACCCCAGAGGCTCAAAAAATAGTATTTATAATGTTAGAGTAGGTTGAGGAATCCAGGCACATGAATGACCTCAGCTAAAGAGTATGTTTGCTCTGCTTTTAACTGTACTTTCTCTCACAGAGAAATTTGATCTCAAAGTCCTCTGAAAGGGCATTTCTTTAAAAACCATGAACCTCTGTTTTTTTCTTTTAGACTTAAATGATAGCTAGTTCTTACTTTAAAAACAAGACAGAGAAATGGCTATAGTCCTATCTGTGTACTTTCAATTATGAAAGGGAAAGTTCGTTGAAAATATGATATACAATTTTGAAAAATTAAGATTGGAAATGAAATCATTCTGTCACTCACCTTTAAACAGTTTGTGGTATCCAGGGGTCTAATCAGCAAAAGACTCAGGAAACAATATATATGCACAATGGAAACTGTTTATATGATAATCCAAGCCCCAGCTTTCTTTGCCTCCTGGTAGCTAACATAAGGTAGTGGTATCATGGCCCAAAGACCCAAAGATAACCTAGAGTGCTGGCAAAACAAACATTGTGTGGAAACTTAGACTTTGCAAATGATTAGTCCAATCAGCAGTAACCCTGAAACTCTAAGCATGAGAGATCACACAAGGTCTTGAGTTTTCTGTGATTTTCCCAATAAAGTTTATTGCAATAACTATTGCTCTTGCAAATAAAATAAATCTTTGATCCTATTTTTAAAAATTCCTATAGAATAATTGCTTTACATTTCTTCTTGCCCTTCAAATATATCTATTTTACTAAAATATGCATAGATTTTAATTTTTTTGATTATAGTATATTAATTGTGAACAATTAAGGAAATGTTATTTGTAGACAATATGATTATATATGGAGACATTCAAAACAATCTACAAAGAAGTTCTTGAATGTATAAATGAACTTTGTGAGATTCTAAGATGCAAGCTTGTAGAAAATATGTTCTTATACATCAAAAAAGTCAAATAGAAAATTTAATTTGGAGTTATTTATTAATTAGTAACGGTCTCATGAATTCTTTAAAAGTAATTGCAATTATGTTTCTTTAAAAAAATCACAACATAGCTTGAGATTGACTAATATGGATATTCTATTAAGATGAAGTAGAACAAAATAGTACAATAGATATTATCTTGACTCTGTGCTAATCAGCTATAAGATCTTTAACAAGGAAGTTTATTTCATTGAACTTGTTTCCTCAGGTGTGAAGTAGGCATTTGTCAAACTGCTTCTAAAGCAGGAGAGGACTTCTTTGAAAACTGTTCAGTATATCTTCAATATGGAAAATAGCTAAAACAGATAGATATTCCTCAGACTACTTAAATTTCCACTATGTGGTCTGGAAATGATGATCTCAGCAGGTATAGCCAGTACATATGTATATATACATATACATAATGTGGTTTTTTTTCTGGAAATCATAACCTAGAGAGGTGTAAAGTCAAGAGCAAAAAGGATGAGTATAAAGGGGATGTTAAGTAATGAGAGCCAAAGGGAAGACAGAAATGAGAAGGCTATATGCTACGTTTTGGGAAACATCTCAGACACAGAGAATTGGAGGTGGTGTGGGAGATTTCCACAAATGTCCCCTCCACATACTAGAATTGACCTAGTTTCAAATGATAATTTAGAATTTTTCAAGAATGATCTTAAATTCCCCATATTGATTGCTCATAGCTGATTAAATGCTATGTCTCACTTGTGAGTCCTAGCCTGCTGTTTGCTTGTTTATTTTTTATTAAAGATTGCAAACATACATGACAACAAGAAATGAAGGTTTCAAATATATATATATATGACAGCAAAAAAGGATATGAAATAAATAAAAATTTATGCAACACAGACTGATAATCCAAATACATTATTAGTTTGATATGATCTTCAAACATTTTATGTTCTTTCTCATTTTCTTTTCATATATTTTTTAAATATTGTATTTACAAATAAAACAAAGTTACATATTATAGTTGAGAAACTGTCCTCAAAGTTTTATGATTTATAAACTCCTTGGTTTTATTAATTTGATAAATAGCATATGCTTGTTGATTGTATCACTTACATTTACTAACAAAACTTCTCACAGAAAAGAAATATACTTATATTTAAAATCCAAAAGCAACAAAAAAATTCACATTTTTAAGATCAGATTTTTGTTTCTATTTTATTATATCCCATACTTATTTTATTATATTTTTATAAGAATAAGGATAGAATCTAACACCATTACATATGTAATATTCTTCTCAAACGAATGACTATGAATTAAGTCAAGCATGTAATTTAAAAAAATCATAAGGTTGCCAGAGAAACTATCAACATGCCAAATGTGCAAAATCCTACCACATCCATGCCCATGTTTCTCATTTAATAGTGCACACATATGCGTAAAAACATACCCCCCATACATATACACAATGCATATTTTCTACAATGCAATATATACTTTGGTATAATAAAACAGTGAAATGATGTGTGGAATGTTCGAGATTTGTGTGATTTGAGAAAAACAAATATTATCTTTGAGGCAGTTGGAGAATTTGTAATATGTACCAGATACTGAATGATATTAATTATTTATTATCCATTTATTTAACTACAGTTATGATAAAATTTACTTAAAATTAATATTCATTATCAGTAGAAAATAGGTACAAAGATATATTGATAGCATAACAAAATTTGTCTTAACAAATTTCCAACCAAACAAGCTGTAGTGACAGAAAAGGAAGTTTGCAGAAGGCAGAGATGAGAGAGGAGAATGACGGATGGACCTTAATACTTTTCATACTACTCATACATACAGATTTCATAAATTCTCAAAGAAGAAAGCAAAGAAAATGAGAACCAAAATAACTCAGAAATTTGGTAGACCGACATAAAAAGACAAAGATCAATGTGTTAAAAATTTTTAAAAATATGAAATGTAAAGCCCGAGATTTACCTCAGTAGTGCTGCACCTGCCTAGCCAGAGCAATGTGCTGAGTTTAATCCCCAGCACCAGGGAAAGAAAAACAAAAAAGAAAAAAAGAGAAAAGGAGCATATGTGCTTTCTAACATACTCAATAGATTGAAAATGAATTATTTGTTATCTCTTCCTCTTGAATTGTTCCCTTCACAAGGATGTAGTGGCCTTCTTTGTCTCTTTTAATCAGTTTAGTTTTGAAATTTACTTTGTCTGTGAATAAGATTGCTACTCCTGCTTTTTTCTCGGCCCTGTTGCATGAAGAAGTTTTCCGTGCTTTCTCTTGCAGTCTATGGGCTTTTTTTTGCACTAGGTGTGTCTTGTATACAACATATTATTGGATTTTGCTTCTTAATTCATTCTGTCAGTCTATTTTTCTTGATTGGTGAGTTGAGGCCATTGACATTGATGGTTATAACTGATATGTACTAACTTATTATTGTCTCCCCCCCGACCCCCCCACCCGCCTTCTTTTAGTTTCTTATCTTGCCTATTTGATTTGCTCTGTTGGGACTCATTGTGTTGTTAACTTCATTGTCTTTTTCTAGGATATTGTTTAGAATTCCTTGTAGTGCTGGTTTGGTATTCATGAAGTTTCTCAGGTGTTCTCTGTCATGGAAGTATCTTATTTCCCCATCCATTTTGAAAGAAAGTTTTACAGGATACATCAGTCTAGGTTGGAGGTTGTGTTCTTTTAGTACTTGAAATGTCTCATTCCAGGCTCTCCTTGACCTAAGGGTTTGTGTTGAAAAGTCTGCTGTGATTCTGATGGTCTTTCCTTTGCATGTGATTTGTTTCTTATCTCTTCCTGTTTGTAGTATTTTGTTCTTCTGTTGGGTTTCTGGGATCTTGATTACTATACATCTAGGTGTAGATTTTTTTTTTTTTTTTGATCATGGCTAGTTGGACTCATTTGTGAGTCCTAGCCTGCTGTTTGTTTTTGAAAATAACCTTTTATTGAAATAATCTCTGTCAGTTATTACTCATAGCTGCTTTTATACTACTTTAAAGTCAAATAGTTGCAAGAAAGACTATATAAAAATCTTTTATTGCAGATGGCTACTTTTGTACTACATCAGAGTCAAATAGTTGCAACAAAGACTATGTGATAGCCTGAATGGCCTAAAAGTTTTGCTATCTGGCATAGTACAGAAAATGTACTATCTGGCCCTTTGTAACTCAGAGGGAGAGATTTCTGGTCTGATAAATACAAACAGTGTCCCCGTAGCTTTGGGAAATAGGAATTTCTTACTTGGGACGGGTCAGTGGGTGATTATTCCTGGGCCAAAGTGAGTGTCCTCTTTTCAATTCACTACTGACTTCCTGGACATGATACAACATTTGTATTTCTCTAAATACTCTTTTACCTTCCTCTATAATTCTTTTCTCTACTCATCTGGAATTCTATCATTAGCTTCCTTTCATTAGAGATCTTGTGTACTTCCATAAGTTTTATGGGTCCACTTTTGGTTGATTGCTTCCTAGTTTACAGGTCTCAGTATTCTAATGATCATTAATAATATTTAAGTAGAATTCTACATCATACTATTGCAACCTCTTTCCCTTACTTCTCTCCTATTAGATGCTAAACAGTGTACTATAGTTTCTATCTTTGAATTGTTTCTTGTCTGTGAACCCCTTCCATTTTTACCCCTCATGATCATGTCTGTGGCTTCATCCCTTGAATTTAAACAGGTAAGAGACATCAGTGGCTTCACTACTTTCTGAGTTGAATGAAACCCCTGATAATGACTTCTCAACTACACTGCCAGCTTGTTCATTTCATAGCTCACCTCTAAGCAGCACAATTGAATATTAAACTTCAATGTTCTTTTAATAAATCTACCAAATTAGTAACATAGCATCTGTTATTTGAAACCTTGGGAAATTTGGATTTTCTTATTTCTTTTCTTTTCTTTCTTTTGCATAACATTCTACCCAGGCAAATTGAAAAATGTTATTCCTCAGAATTGGCTATAACTTCTTCTGCCATTATATTTCTTCCTTAAATCTTTTTTCCAATTTCCAATTTTGAAATATTAGTCTGTTGTATAACTCTTTATGAGTCATTCCAAGTGTATTTTGTTCACAAACCTTTTCTAGATTTCATAACCATTTTAAAATCCTATGTGATTCTTTCATCCTTGAATTAAACTCACACAGCTTTTTCAGAACCTCTTACAGTATGTGGAACTGATTTAATATTACATTATATCATGATTATTGTGTGCTTTATTACCACTCATTTTCTATCACTTCACTTAATAAGTTAAAAGTTTCTTATAGAACAGACTTGAATAATATTGATCTTTATACATGATAAACATAGAAATTAAATGAATATTAGTTGAATTGAGTTGCCTACACATAATGAATTTGTGACAAAATTGCTGAATTTCATGTTATGTCTCTATATATGTTGTTTTAGCTAAATTACATTATGCAAGCTCTCATAGATTTGCATAAGAGGCCAAAACTTTCCCGAATCAAAATACTCTAAAATTATTTTATTTATCATTTATTAAATTTTGAATAATGCAAATGATGAAATTAGATTTAACAAGCCCTTTGGC